GTTGGGCTTCTCTGAGCCCTCTTTTCAATGAGGTCTCACCCTGGGTTTCTACGTTCATCCTTTGCGGAGTCCAGTTTTAGCAAGAATCTTGCTAAGCCAGTTTAGAGAGAATTCGCCATCCTCGATATCTGATCGCCCTGGTCAACTGTGCCTTCAGCAAGAATTTCGTTATGTGGTTTAGCAAGAATCCCGCTGCCTTCAATGTCTCCTCTTAGTAATTTTCCGTCCACTGACACCTCCCCCCAACTGGCTCCTTGACTGTAAATCTCTACTTATCCTTGTTGTATTTGGATTTGAGCCTGATCTCTTTACCTTATTGTGATAGTCTTGGCATCTACCACAAAAGTCCTGAATGAAGTCTTCTGAACATTTTAACAAGTGTCAGAATAATTTTTTTAACATAGATCAAAGCTTAAATATTGAGGTTCTCAAAAGAGGCCGACATATATTAAGCACCATATAAGTTCTGAATGCCAAATCTATTCCTCGCAACAACCCAATGAGGCAGTGCTATTATTATCCTAAACTTATAGATTAAACTGGAGACCCAAGAGGTTAATTTCCTTGCGGAAGCACACAGAGCTAGAGTAGGTAGTGGAACTGATATTCTAATCCAAGGAGTCTGCCCCAGAGTCCATGTTCTTAAATACATCAGACGGCCGTCAGAGGACTGAAGATTAGGCTGGGAAGTCTACTCTGTCAGCACTCATAGAACAAGGTCCTCAAACTCAACTGCACACGGCACCTGAGGTTAAGTAACCTTAGGGAGTGAAGCAGGGTGGGGCACGCGGGAAGTGGGCCTGGGAGGGTCCAGTCCTGTGAAGTGGGAAGCCCTTCTCAGCGCCACCTAGTGTTGCCATCTGGAAATGCAAACCGTCTGATTTTTACCTGGAAGGGAGGGGGAAATCTATTAAATAGATTTGTATGAAGGATCTCTTCAGTTAAGAAGAGAAAGAAGGAAAAGAAAGGGAAGGGAAAAGGAAGGGAAGGAGAGAAGAAAGGGAAGGGAAAACCATGCAGGACACACACAGAGATGCATACCCACCCGTCTACTGAAGGAATCCAGTCTCAGGCCACCTGTTTGCAACCTTATTTTTAGAAGTTATTAAATTTTATCATAATGGACTCTGACTGATGATAAAGAATATACTCCTCACTCTAAACCACCAAGTAACTATAATACACTTTTAAAATGCCGTAGTGGTCTGACCCATTGGAGACTCTAGATTTCTGCCATTAGGTAAGGCAAGGGAGGGGAGAATGGAGGAGTGAGTCTCTTCTAGGCTCGTGGAGATGCCGCGACAATTCCATCAGCAGATAGGTTGGAGAGTAGTGTTGACTTCTTACCTACTAATAAATCAAGAGATTTCCAGTTATAGGTGTTAAGCCATGCAGTTTGGGCTTTTCTTCTTGATTCTTGAATTGATGGATAATTTAACCTCTATTAACAAAGTGAAGGAAAGAAAACACCCTTTCAAAGTTAAACCAACACAATTCAGCTGTGTGGGGGAAATGGCAGAAAGCATAATGACTTCTGAGAGTTTTATGAAGTCATCTTCATCTAAGTCTTTTAACTTTCAGTTGCTGAACTTTGAGCTGTTTATGTTTTACAGTCGTCTTTGGCAAACTAGGTTTCTTGGCACCAGCCTTACAGCACAGGAGAGGTTTGTCCTCCTGGCTTTATGAGACCTTCCAGCTTTTCATAGCAGGTGTCCAGTGTTCTTGGTTTTAATTGTCTAAACCTGGATTACAGATACATAAAGTTTTATAAATAAGATATTGCCATTTTCTTCTAAGAATAACACTCTTTTTTTAATTGCTTTCATTAATATTTCATGCCCTGGATTAAAATCCCCTATTAGTTTGAAGTTTGGCAGAGCTTTAATAATGGCCATTTTGGAAGAAAACAGGATCAATTAACAACTTTTATGCACAGGACCCAGCGCTGTGCCCTGTGGAATGAACAGAAAAGGATTAATAAGTTTCTCCCTTTTCCTTCTGGGGCTTGAGATATTTTTGGAGAAATGAGGCATTTATACAATCACAATGGTACAAAAACAATGCATGAAAAGCACAATACTAAGGACACAGATGACCAACCTGTAGCAGTTTTAAAAAACAGAGAGACTCTACGACTTGAAAGCTTTAGAGGGCTTCAGAAAGAAAGTGGGATTTAAGTGGGGCCTTGAAGAACGGGTAGGCTTTTTGAGAATGAGGAGGGCAGACTGTGAAAAGAAAGGTATAATGAACACAGGTACAAAAGAGGGGAGGCAAAGGCTGGCTTGGGCCAAGCAAGTGATTTTGCAACAGAAAACTCAGTAAGGAAGCAATGGAACATAAACCTAAAGAGAAGTGGCTTGAATGAGCAGAAAGCCTTCAAGACCATGGATGGGAAAATATTCAACCCATTCCTATGAATAATGAAATTAGAAGGAAGAGCTGGCTTAGAGGAGAAAATAAGTTCCATTTAGGGTTAGATTTCATGTGATAGTAGATCAGCCAAAAGATAAAATAATGTATTTTCAAAATCTGAGTCCAACTAGATTTGATTTTGCCTTCTTTTGACACTTTGGAGCCAAGGTTAAGATTGTGCCCTTTGATTTTTTTATTCATCACATGCAAAGAAGTAGGATCCTTGAGTTTTGGAGCTGGAAGTGTTCTTAGAAATCATACAAGTCATTTTGCCAATGAGTTAATGTGGAGTCACTAACACAGCCTATTAGTGATCAATATTAAAACACGATCATCCACTAATGTCTGATCCATAGCTTTATTCACATGACCTAGTGTCTAGTTATCCTTTCTAAAAAGTGTTTATACATAAACACACATATAATTTTATATAAGCATATTCCCTAAATCATATCAGATGTATTTCTTAAAATTCAGCATTTTCCCACCTTTGGGTACCTCCGTCTCCCCTCCTTGTCTCCAGCTCATTACTCTCCCTCTGTTTAACACCTAATATGTCCTGTTCTAAATATTTTTAGAATTTATGCAATCATACACAAATATATCTGCATGTGTATGTGTGTATACATATGGAGTGTTTTAGGTCATTGTTTTAGAAATATGAAAATGTACATACTCTTTTCTGTACCTTGCTTTTCTCATTCCACCATACCTTAGGGAAATCCCTGCCATGGGAAAAATTATAGGTTAATTAGTTATTTACTTGAATGATTGCATAATACTCTACAGTAGAGCTATGTCATGATGTATTCTACCATTCCCCCTATTCATAGGGACCGGTCTGTTTCCAGTTTTTGACTCTATAAATAGTACTTTAACAAACATAATTGTATCTGTATTCACATATGCTGGGGTTTTTATTTTTATTAGTAGAGTTGTTATCACTGGGTCAAGGACATGTGTATTTTTAGTTTTAAAAATTAAACTGCTTCCCTAGAAAAGCTGTAACAATAAACATTTGTGCCTACAATTAATAAAAAAATACTTTCTTGGCCGGGCGCGGTGGCTCACGCCTGTAATCTTAGCTCTCTGGGAGGCCGAGGCGGGCAGATTGTTTGAGCTCAGGAGTTCAAAACCAGCCTGAGCAAGAGCGAGACCCCGTCTCTACTAAAA